TTTATTTCTCATTGCTCTGCTCTGTTTTGCTAGGTAAATAAATTAGGTGAATTTCCTCTCTAAGTTCAGTCTGTTTTGCTCGTGACAATAATTAGCGAGTGATCTCTCCCTGTCCTTATCTTGACCCACAAGCCTTTCGTTATACTTTTTCTCCCCTCTCTAGTTAAGGAGGAGGAGTGATAGAGCGGCTCTGGTGGGCTTCTGGCCTCCAGCCAGGATCAACCCACCACAAAAAACAAAGAATATCCTTTTATCAGTCCCCAGGTCTTTTACTAATAAGCTGCAAATGCAGAACTTCAGTTAGCATGGAGTGGAGGCACGGATGAAATATACATTCTTACTGATGATTATCCATCATGTGAGAATGAAATCAAGACATGAGTAATGGCCTGTTTCAGTTTTTGGGGCTTTTTTGTTTGTTTGTTTGGGTGGGTTTTTTTCCTTTAACACATGCTTGGTAGTATAGATGAGTGAAAATTGCTAAAAATAATTTGGGCCAGATTCTTTAGTGATGAAACTCCATTACAGGCAAATGGAGTGCGAGTTTTCACTTGCTCATCTTTGTATTGACTTGTATAGGTATTGGGTCAAACCAACACAAGGGTGTGTGACAGCTGTGTTGTTACGTTTGCCATGGAAGGATAAAGAGTTTACAAAACTACATTTTTCCTGCTGCTGACAGCTGGCCAGAGAGGTCTAAGCTTTGAAGCAATGCTGCTGTGTGGTATCAGGGAATCCCAGCCTTCTTGAGGGGTGTGGGTGCATGGAGAGGGAAAGGGATTGATTAGTTTAATGCTGCCTTTGCCTTTAGCAGCATGTTTGCTGGCCTATGTGGTGTGCTTGTGTGCTGTACATGCACCCCACCTGTGAAGCTCTCTCTGGACCCTGCAGACATCCAGCTGCTGAGCTTGTGCCCTGTGGTTTATAAATCATTCAGGAGATTTGTGCATTACAACAGCAGAATCAGCTCTTTAGAGGGTGTCGAGGAAGGACCTCTACCTTGACTGGTATCTTTTAGGGAGGAGTGTATCTTTTTAGGCTGAGTGTATTTGCAAAGATCAGTCTTGGCACATAGTTTGAGAATGTATTGGGAAATTGTCAGGAAAGCTGAGGAAAGATGCAACTTTGTGGGATATAGATTGGTTCTGGGAATTCTGTGTCTAACTTTTCATGTCTTGCCTTAAGAAGGCTTTGCTGGAAAAGTAATCCCCTAAGAAGGTAGGGCCTAGTGCTGAAAAATAGATATACATAAATTTCAATCAGTAACTGAAAGAAAACTGTTCACCCAATAATATAATTGAATACTTTCTGACTAATTGAACCCCAAAACATACCCTGGAATACTTACCGGTCACTTCTTTGGTGGATTGTGCTTCAACAGAGGATTGCTGCTTTATAGGTCATATTCACTTATAATAGAAGAGAATCGTTTAAGTTGGAAAAGTTATCTTTAAGATCATCGAGTCCAACCATAAACCTAACACTGGCAAGTCCATCACTAAACCATGTCCCTAAGCACCACATCTATGCATCTTTTAAATACCTGCAGAGATGGTGACTCAGCCACTTCCCTGGGCAGCCTGTTCCAATGCTTGATCACCCTTTCACCCTTTTGGTGAAGAAATTTTTCCTAATATCCAATCTAAGATTGTGGGAGAAAGGCAGAACAGCATTGCAAAGGTCTCCTCTGACACCATGAAACCAAACGGATTTTGCTCTTCCTGAATCAGGTGGTGTTGAGATTTGTAGCTGAAGGCAGCTGCTGCTCTTTTACAAAATACAGCTGTGAGCTGTGTGTAAGAAGCAGCAAGATGACAGCACATCACAGGAGTTGGCAATTGCCACAGCAGCCTGAGCCCAAGTGCCACTTGATAGAATTATCAGAGATGCATGAGGCTTCAGTTCTAACTTAGCATAGGCACCAAGGCTGAAAGATTACTAAGGCAAAATGGACCTGTTCTCTTTGATTAGCTCTGATTTGCTACTCTGATGGCATATATCAATGTTAAAAGAAGGCCACTAAGCTTTTGTTTGTACTGCATTGGAAATGACACATTGCAAGAGGAGGAAAACTTCCATTCAAAATTGCAGAATCAGTGATGAAGTAAAATTAAAAAGAAAGATCAAAGATAGAAAGTAGGAAGAGGAAGAAAGAGGCAAGGTACAGTATGGCTGCAAAGACATCATTAATTTCATTTTAATGAATCTCGGACCACTCAGGAAGGGGAGGGTAGCTCTTTGTGTACTGGGCGAGAAAGAACAGCCTTTTGCCACTGCACTGTGAGATTTCCTTTGAACATAGTCTCTTACCAAAATGAAGGACTGCACTCTGCTTCATATTTCACAGAATTAGAAAAGACCAAGCTATTTTCTGACTCCCTGCATCCTGCTTATGTAACTTGCAGATGACGGCTATGCAACCTCTGGCTGAGCCCTGGAAAATTTTCTTGTCAGTGACTCAGGTGCTTGGCAAACAGGCTGGCACAGCAGGCTTGGAGATGACATTGCAGTTAGAGGCACTCCCTGGGTACCAGAGCCCAATTCAAGGTCCCTTTATGGAGGATCTTCATAGAAGAAGGTGATCATCCTGGTCACGTCATCTGCAAGACTCTCTGTGCTGATGCTATATTAATTATGTGCAAGTAGAAAGCATCCCCCTTGATTGCATTAGAGCAGAAGAAAACCATAGCCCTAACTGTTACCCAGAGATGTGGGTCAGCAAGGAAGGAGAAGAGCTAGCCAAGAACGAGTCCTTGGCCTTTACATAAATAAAAATTCCTGCAGGATGTGGGGAGAACGTTTAGTGCAGCTGGGTTGCAAAAATGGGACTTCATGGGGAAGCACAAGGTCCTCTTTTGCAGGCCCCATTCCCAAATTCTATTCAGTCAACGTTGGTTTGGAGGTACTAGATGTGGCTGAAAGCTGGAGGACAGGACTGCGCATTGTGCTATAGGAGTAAAATTGAGAACAATTAAAAGGGAAGGATTAGACCTAGGGATGAAGGGAAAAACAGAGGCAGAACTGCTTCAGCTGCAAACTAGACCTCCCTGTGGGTGAGCTCTCATCTCCAGCAGCAGCAGATCCCAATTTCCACCTCTTTGGAAATGTGACTGAGATGAGCCAGGAGATCTGTACCACCAAGTAGGTTCAGTCACTGCAGAGGGTTGAGGCTGGGACAACTGTGAGATCCCCAAATATAGCCCATCTTATATGAATCTATGCAGCAAGCCCCCCTGGTAGTCTAGCTAAGTTTAAAGCAGTACTTAGCTCACCCCTGCACAGAGCCTGTTTGCCAGACTGCAGTGAGAGGAGACAAAAAAAGATGTTGCCACAGGGATGACCTGGTAACTAATGAATTTCATTGATCTTGTACTTGCAGGAGAGAGCAATGTACCCTCTGCAGTTCCTGTGAGCTTTTCTGCTGGAGGCACTGAGAGAGCAAACATGAGATGTTATCCAAAAGCAGGGCTGTGTGAGCCCACTGAACCTAACAATTCTGCGCTCTCATGGATGTATGAACACGTTAGTGCCGAAGATACCAGCATCAGGAAATCTCTTCATGGCTTCTACAAAATGTATTGCAAAAAATGGCCAGACAGATCAGATCCCACCTACGAGGCTGCATCACGATGTCTGTCGCAGAAGATTTCAGAGCTAGCAAACCAGGATGGAACAAAATACGCATCGCGTTGCCTGCAAATGGCCCAGGTGGTCTTGAACAGAGATGGATGTAAGATCTTTCCAAACCACCCCACTACTGCTTGTTTTTCAAAGCCAGCTGAAGAAGTCATGTTGGAAGACAGAAAGAGAACACCCGGACTCTCAGATGACATCCTGCAATTCCTCTTGAAACAAACACGTACAGAACATAGCCCTGACGTGTCACATGAGAAATGAGCAAGACACTGGTTTGTTTCTGTCGTTGGAGCTTTGCTTTCACTGTAAAAAGAGGCAACTTTCTTTGAAAAGTCCTCTTGGTGGTCCTCTTAGCACCACCTTCAACACCATGTGTTCCATGGAGGGATTCATCTGGAGCAGACCTTGCCACCTTGCCTCTACAGGGCAGCATCACATAAGGAGCGTGGTCTCCCTGTAACTGCTTGGGATGTGTTGACTAATCGGAGTGGGTGTCTGTTTTGGGACATCAAACATGATGATTTCTATGTACCAGGCTTTTAAATTGACTTATATCCCTACTCCAGCTGAACAGTGGCACAGCCCAAATTCAGCCCCTGTGTAGGCATGGATGTCCAAGTGCTGTTGACTCTAACAGAGTGATTGAACAAGCTTGGCACAGTGTGCCCCAGACCTAGGGAGGAAACTTAAGATTTTGTTCTGAACTTGACTGATACTGTAACACCTATGTGTAACACCTGTCAGGGGTGCCTGATAGCTGTGTGTGTTTACCTACAGACATATCATCCCACCAATCATGATTGCAGTGCAGGTGAGCTTTTTCAACAGAAAAAGTGTTTGTGTGCATGAGAGAGAGAAGAAATACAGCTTCTGATTGGGTGGGTGTTTTTTTTTTTTTAACAGAAGGGATAAAAAAAGAGAAGGAAAAGCTTTATCGCCTCAGTGATGTTTCTAACACTTCAAATGCACCAGCTGAGCAAACTGGGGATTTTTTCCTATGTGTATGAGCTGTTTTAAGAACAAGCTGAAATAGATTAATGAGTAAGGGCTCTGCAGAAGCATCCATAGAGAAGCTGCAGAGTTGGTGCCAGCTGCTCTGGTAGCTGCCTGCTGTAAGATGCACAGTATCTAGGAAAAGCAGAGCTCACATCTCTGCATGCCCAAGACTGCGGGTTGCTTTGTTGATTCTGTAGGGGCAATGCTGTTTTCTCTAGCTCTCTCTCTATCCAGTAGTCCCTGTTGATTTCTGCTATCTTGGGGTCTGAGCCCAGAGCTTTCACAAAGAGGAAGCCAATGCTTATTGCTTGAGTACACTCCATCATCTTTGTTAGCACTGCACAAGACCTTGTGATTACTTTACTGGTGTGTTGATGTATGAAGTAAAATGTTCTGTGAGATGTTTGAACCATGGAAGTGGTTGCTCTCCAGCAAAGATCATCTGGCATTGGTTGGTTACAGCAAAGGTTTAATTCTTCTGAAAAGCTCTGCTGCTGTTTATACCCAGAACTTTCTTGCCCTGGTTTTATTTGGCAAGATCACCACTAGCTACAGTGGGAACTGGCCCAATGCACTCACTGGTTGCCCAGCTTGAGTTGTGGTGATTATCACTTGCCCTATGACATTAAGAGGTGACCTGAAGGACTAATTCCCAGTAGTTTGTTTAGGTTACTGCTACCTATAGGGAATTTGAAGTGCTCTGGGTCTGATGCATCGCTAGGAGTTTGGCAGGCATAATTCTCCTTTGCTTTTTCTTGTGGAAACTGGGGGTGAATCCCAAGGAAAATAGCTGCATGAGAGATGCAGGACTGGGCTCCCACTGCTGAAGCTGTGGTGGGAAGGGGGTTGCTGTCACACGGGGCTGCAATTCAGGCCCCTCTGCTGTGCGTGTGGAAGCCCTTTGAAGTGGTCAACCAGGAGCAAGCAGAGCTTCCAATCCCTCTTTGGACAGGTTGTCAGTCATTAAAACTGTGTTTTACTGTCTGTAATTATAAATGTTCTGTTCTTCAATGATGTATCAGGCTCTAAAAGAGACACATGGGTTGGAGAAGATAGTTATGTGGTAGTCCTTACCAGGGTTGCCAGGCCCACTGTTTTGATGTAATTTTTGCTTTGTTTCACAGCTTGCTTGGAGAGCTTGCAAGTCAAAGAAACCTAGAAAAATTCTGAATTTTGTCTTCTCCAAACTTTTGTTAGATTTTCATTAAAATGTAGAATAAAACTAATTATTTTATGGCAGATTTTCATATTTTAGGCGCTTACAGAAACAGAGCAGTGCTTAGCTGGATAAACTGGGCTCCAAAATTCCATTAATTTTTAATGATAAAAAACCAAGCTAAAAGTTTAGGGGAGGCTGACAGTCTTGCCAGACACCTAACTGGTGTTAGGAGCCAAAACATGATAGAGTTTAGAATACCTGATCACTCCTGCTGTGAAATGAACAGCTCCATTTCTGGAGAAACACTTAATTTATAAGGTGTTTCACTGGGATCTTCTAGTTCAATCACTTTTATTAAGTTAAACAAGACTGCAGCACAGAGAATAACACTCATCACTCCTTTTCCCACTCACTGCTAATTAATTTTTTTACAAACCTGTGCTGGAACCTGCTATGTATATTTCCAAGTCTTCTGAAACCATTACTTATTTCCTTGATAAACATCTCTCCTTGATTTCTTCAAGACACAGGGAGATGAATGCATTCCTCCCCTTTGCCAGGTGTTACAAGTAGGACTCAACCAATTGCTTAGAACACCCTGTACTATGCCAATCCTATTTGGCATTTTATGATGCTGCATAGAAAAACTGTACTAACAAGTATTACCTCTGGTGAGCAATAGCACATGGGGCCTAAACTTAGGTCTGTTTGAATTTCTTAAGCTGACTGGCAGTTATAACTAAGATATGTTGCTTCGAATTAACTAAATTGGGTTTTTTTTCCTCTTGTTTTTGTGGACTTCTCTCACAGGCAGAAGGGAATCTGCCTGTGTTCTCGATCCACTAAACTGCCCTTTCACAGACTACTTCACTCCCTTCTTGCAATGGAGTCTTCAGAAAGGTGGAAACAGCTTTCAAGAAGCCATCAGCTTAAAATGTGTAGGGCTGCCACGATCCTCTGTCAAACCAGTCCTCAGCATTGCAGAGTGGGACAGCTGTGTAACAACTCCAATGTGCCTCCCACCACTGCAAACACAGCCACGGCTGCATGGTCTTCTGCTGTCAGTTGTAGAGGCATGAACTTGGCCAGAGCTGCTGCCCCCACAAACAACAGTGTCCAGCCAGTGATGGGAGAGAGGAGGAGGACAGACCCCAGGAACAGTGAGAACACAGGGAGGAAAGGGGATTTGTCGCGGGGGGGGGGGGGAGGGGGCGGAACTGCCCCAGGAGCACTGGTGGGTGAGTACCTTCCTCGGGTTGAGCTTTTGGGCAGCTGCTCTCCTGGATGCTGGGTCGCCGAAGAGAGCTGCTCCGATGAGTCCGGAGACGTGGGCGCGCAGGGAGTTTTGCTGACCTTCCAGAGGCATGGAAGCGCCAGGAGCGCGGAAGGGACCCGCCACGAGGCGGAAGCTCTCGCGGGAACCGCTGACGAGACCTGGGCGTTGCCAGAGCAACGGTGCCCACCCCCCCACGCCATAAAAAGCAGCCTAGGGAACGCTGATGACCCGGAGCGCGGTGCGGCAGTTGCGCTGGAGGGTGCACATGGAGACCTTAGTCACTCTACCCGCTCAAGAGGTGACTCCATTGGTAGTCATCACCTCCTCGGAAGGAGTTTAGCCATGGCACTCACTCAGCAGAAAGCTTTAACCTGTTCTTGCCAGAAGGCATGTGGCAACCCAGACAGAGCTGCCACGAAAACATGCAGCCACCCAGCTCTCAGGCTGCAGGGAGTGTCAGAGCCTATCACTGATAGCGGATGGCAGTAGTGAGATTGGCTGTGTGAGGTGTGACCAGGTGGATGATCTGCTCAGCCTGGTGGCAGAACTACATGTAGAAGTGGAAAGATTAAGGAGCATCAGAGAGGCTGAGAAAGAGATAGAGTGGTGGAGCCAAGCTCTGCCCTCCCTGAGACAGAAACAGGGACAACCAACAGACAAAAACCAAGGTGAAGGGGACCCTGTATCCTCCCCTTGTCAGGCAGAAGGCAGTAGCCTAAAAGGGAGAAGTAAATGGAAGGAAGTCCACACCTGGTGTGGCAGGCAAACTTACTCTCGTTGCCCACCTCGCCTTCCCAAGTGCCCCTGTGCAACAGGTACGAGGCTCTGGCTGTGGAAGGCCACTCAAAGGAGGATATGGATGATAGCTGAGCTACACCAGAGGTAGCACCAAGGCCAGAAAGGCCTCCACCCCATATCATGACCACCCCCACAAAGAAGAAAAGGTGGGTTATAGTTGTATGGGACTCCCTTCTGAAGGGTACAGTGGGCCCAATATGCAGGGCAGACCCTCCCCTCAGAGAAGTCTGCTGCCTCCCCGGGGCCCATGTCAAGGACATTACGAGGAAACCCCCCAGCCTGGTATGGCCCTCTGACTACTACCCACTACTGTTTCTCCATGTGGGTGGGGACAAAGCTGAGACACATAATGCAAAAGCAATCAAAAGGGACTTCAGGGTCTTGGGACAATCACTGAAGGGATTTGGAGCACAGGTATTTTTTTCCTCCCTCGTTCCAGTTGAGGGCAGTAACATTGGGAGGAACAGGCGGACAGAGTCCATAAACACATGACTCCGTGGCTAGTGTCATTGCCACAACTTTGGTTTTTTTTACAATGGGATGGCCTACACAGAACCAGACTTGATGAGCTCTGATAGGATTCACCTCTCTCAAAGGGGAAAAAGGATCTTTGCCCAGGAACTAGTGGGGCTCATCGACAGAGCTTTAAACTAGGCGGGGAGGGGGATGGCCACATCTCACACATTGCAGCATGCTTGAAGCCTAGAGGAGACAAGCCAGGGGCTCCAGAGGCAACAGGAACCAACAGGGAAACACTGGGAAAATATGTCAAAGGAGCTCCAGCCAGTAAGTCAGCCTCATCGAGGGCACAACTGAAATGCCTTTGTGCAAACACACGGAGCATGGGAACAAACAAGAGGAGCTGGAGACATGCACACCTGCAGGGCTATCACCTTATTGGCATCACAGAGAAGTGGTGGGATAGCTCCTATGACTGGAGTGTTGGGATGGAAGGGTACAGGCTCTTTAGGAAGGACAGGCAGGGCAGATGAGGAGGGGGTGTCACCCTTTATGTCAATGACCAGCTGGAGT